TGTGTTTGACTGAGAGAATGTGCATGTGTGTGTGTGTAAACTATAGTGTGTGAGTGGGTATGTGTTTGACTGAGAGAATGTGCGTGTGTGTGTGAACTATAGTGTGTGAGTGGGTATGTGTTTGAGAGAATGTGCACGTGTGTGTGTGTGTGAACTATAGTGTGTGAGTGGGTATGTGTTTGACTGAGAGAATGCATGTGTGTGTGTGTAAACTATAGTGTGTCAGTGGGTATGTGTTTGAGAGAATATGCACGTGTGTGTGTGTGTGAACTATAGTGTGTGAGTGGGTATGTGTTGACTGAGAGAATGCATGTGTGTGTGTGTGAACTATAGTGTGTGAGTGGCTATGTGTTTGACTGAGAGAATGTGCGTGTGTGTGTGTGTAAACTATAGTGTGTGAGTGGGTATGTGTTTGACTGAGAGAATGCATGTGTGTTTGTGAACTATAGTGTGTGAGTGGCTATGTGTTTGACTGAGAGAATGTGCGTGTGTGTGTGTGAACTATAGTGTGTGAGTGGGTATGTGTTTGACTGAGAGAATGTGCATGTGTGTGTGTGTAAACTATAGTGTGTGAGTGGGTATGTGTTTGACTGAGAGAATGTGCACGTGTGTGTGTGTGTAAACTATAGTGTGTGAGTGGGTATGTGTTTGAGAGAATGTGCACGTGTGTGTGTGTGTGAACTATAGTGTGTGAGTGGGTATGTGTTTGACTGAGAGAATGTGCGTGTGTGTGTGAACTATAGTGTGTGAGTGGGTATGTGTTTGAGAGAATGTGCACGTGTGTGTGTGTGTGAACTATAGTGTGTGAGTGGGTATGTGTTTGACTGAGAGAATGCATGTGTGTGTGTGTAAACTATAGTGTGTGAGTGGCTATGTGTTTGACTGAGAGAATGTGCGTGTGTGTGTAAACTATAGTGTGTGAGTGGGTATGTGTTTGAGAGAATGTGCACGTGTGTGTGTGTGTGAACTATAGTGTGTGAGTGGGTATGTGTTTGAGAGAATGCATGTGTGTGTGTGAACTATAGTGTGTGAGTGGGTATGTGTTTGACTGAGAGAATGTGCGTGTGTGTGTGAACTGTAGTGTGTGAGTGGGTATGTGTTTGACTGAGAGAATGTGCACGTGTGTGTGTGTGTGAACTATAGTGTGTGAGTGGGTATGTGTTTGACTGAGAGAATGCATGTGTGTGTGTGTGAACTATAGTATGTGAGTGGCTATGTGTTTGACTGAGAGAATGTGCACGCGTGTGTGTGTGTGAACTATAGTGTGTGAGTTGGTATGTGTTTGGCTGAGAGAATTTGCGCGCGCACGAGTATGTGTGTGTGTGTGTGTGTATGTGTGTGTGTGTGTGTGCATGCGCGTGCATGAGAAGAGACAGAGTTTAGAAAGCCAATACGCGGTGTTTTCTGATTAGCATACACTCCCTTCTGGGAACCACCACCCTGATTTCTTGTGGGGAAACCACTGCATCTTCCACACAAACGGCTGGGGTGGGACGGAACCTGTTCTCTCGCCCTAGGGGTATGTGTCCTAGGCCTGTTCCCCAGTCTACCTCACCCCCTTCATTGTGATTGCCTTGAGAAAAGACACCTGACCCACGTCATGCCAACCAAGTCACCTGGCCTTTGCCGGGACTCAGTGGAGAGGTGGTCTCTGCCTGGGGTTGCGTGGGACAGACCTGCGTGAGAGTGAAGCCCGCGGACAAGAACGAAGCGGGGGTGTGTGGAGAACGACCCCGTCCTGCTGGCATCCCTGGGTCTCAGGACAGAGCCACAGCTGGGGCCGGGCCTGCCCCCGGACTTATAGTTGCTCCAGCAAGTAAAGCTCATTTTGGCTTAAGCCAGTTTGAAGTAGGTGCCTGTCATTTGTAATCCAAAGATCCCGGCCAAGACAGGTACTGACAGAAAAGTAATTGGGGTCCCGATTAGGGTCGAGGAAGAGACCCTAGCTTCTCCATCGCCCAAGAGGGAAGGGACAGGGAAAAGGAAGTGGTGTCCACCTGGGCTCTTCCAGGTGAGGTGACAACCCTGACGCCCGGCTGGGGCCGTCTGCTGCAGAGCATCAGCTGTCTGGGAAACCTGACTCTCAGGGTGCGAAGCTTTCCTGATGAACGTGGTGAATAAGCAGGACCCCACACTGCTTCCTGTTACCCAACTCTCAGTATTAAATATTCAGTAATTTCTCAAAGCCTATTCTCATCAGACTAAAAAAAGTCCTTTCAAACAAACTGGCCAATATAGAAGAAAATACCGGGATCACCATAGACATAATGGTAATTGCCAGACTCATTAGCATGTTGATGACTACTAATTTTCAAATTTAATTAATAGATAGAAATGGCACTTTCTTTTAATTTATGTCATTAGTCAAATGAGCTTTCCAATTAAGATTAGCATTCTCGAAATTTATAAACTGGTGGATGACTTTAAACATGAACCATCAATAAGGCTCTGCCTGGTCAGAACTGGCTTCTCCCCTGAAGAGAGGGGAGAAGGGTGCATTTCATCGCCTGGCAGTTTCTAGACAGACTCTTTTATGAAGCTACTCTAGCCGTCCACTGCCCCGTCATCAGTGGGATTCCAAATCTCATTTCCACTTTCCACTAAATTCAGCAGAAAAATTACATCACGTCAGATAAAGCAGAAAGATTGGCACTTACTGGTAATAATTAATACTGCTTGTAAAACAAACAAGCAAACAAACAAACAGCTTAAATTTGACAAGTAGTAAAATGAACCAATTTCTAAAATAGATTCAAATAGAAATTTCACTGAGGAAATGACATGGAAAATGAGTCTGGGGCCGGACTCAGCAGTATCACAAAGACAAAGGCTGTTTACTACTAGAAAGTGATTGGCTGCCCTGACCGGTTTGCTCAGTGGTTAGAGTGTCGGCCAAGGACCAATGAGTTGTGGGTTCAATTGCGGTCAAGGGCACATACCTCAGTTGCCGTTGGTCCCTGGCCCTGGTCGGGGTCGTGTGGGAGGCAACCATTCGATGTGTCTCTCACATCGATGTTTCTCTCTCTCTCTCTCTCACTCTCTCTCTCTCTCTCTCTCACTCTCTCTCCCTCCCTCCCTCCCTCCCACTCTATTTGAAGATAAATAGAAAAATATCCTTGGGTGAGGATTTAAAAAAAAGTGATTGGCAAACTAATCAATAACATTTTTACAAGGCCTAACAGTGGGCTTGCTCCAGGCTCCACGAGGAACGGGGCCTCCCTCCAGCACGAGGGAGGCGGGTTTCGGCGAGTCAGCCGCGGACACTGCCGAGGCCCCTGCCGAGGGCGGGCGCGGGGCGGGAGCACCAAGCTTTCTGCTCTGAAATAATTTGCTCTATAATAACTTTAAAAAGAAGGAAAGAAAATTCGGGATGTCATCCACGGTGGAAAAATCAGAATTTGTTGGATTTCCTTAACTCATTTTAGAGTTTATTGTTATCACTTTGAATTACATCTGACAAAATACCATATGTTTCTCAATGCTTAGGGGATGGTTCCTAGTGACTTTTAATCTAGTCTTGACAATGGGTAAGACATTTGCGGCACAGGATTCTAAACACAGAGAACATTTGGATCATATGAAAATAGATTAATGTAAAGTAAAATGTTTTCAATGACCAAATAATAATTTTTGAAACTATGTTTGTCAATTAAACATAGCCAATAGGAAGCTCTGGCAAGCCCACTTGCTATTATGATGTACCAGCAATGTAAGAATAATTATTAAATTTAAAATAAAATTGTATATATTTAAGTTGTACACGTGATTTTTATGTGCACAATATGATGATTTTATACACATATATAGTGAAATGATTACCATGTTCAAGCTAATTAATATATTCATCACCTCGACAGTTACCATTGTCTTTTTACTTTAGATCTACTCTCTTAGCAAATTCCAAGTGCATAGTATGGTGCTATTAACTGCAGTCATCATGCTGTACACAGATCCTCAGAACGTACTCCTCTCGCAACCGAAAGTTTGCACCCTAGACCAGCATATCCCTGTTTCTCCCTCCCCCTGTAACCACTGGCAGCTACCATTCTTAGACTTACAAGTAAATAAATATTTAAGGCTCAAAATATTTAGTGGAATTCTAAATTCTCTTTACTAATAAAAAATCACTGAGATCTAAATGTGAAAATTTACTTGTGATATATACTCAAGATATATTCTCTCACTTATAGGTTTTCTCATGAGAATAGTAGTGCATTTTGGACAATGTTCTAACTTGTAGAAAAGAACTCATAGCACTCTTTTATTTTGTTTTATTCTCATTTATTTATTTTTATCCTCACCCAAGGACACTTTTGCATTTATCTTCAGATAGAAAAGGAGGGAGAGAGAGGGAGAAACATTAATGTGAGAGAAACACACCAAGTGGTTGCCACCCACATGACCCCAACCGGGCCAGGGACAAACTGCAACTGAGGTACGGGCCCTTAGCAGGAACCGAACCCAGGACTCTCTGGTCCACAGGCTGATGCTCTAACCACTTAGCCACACTGGCCAGGGCCCACAGCACCATTTTAATAGAAAGGAAAGGAAGGCACCATCCTTAGGAGATGTGAACATCCGTCAGAAAGGTTGTAAATGATGGGGAAATGCTTCTGACTCATTTCAAGTCCTAGCTGTGGCATTTAAACAGCTGTGTGACCCTGAGTTATTGACCTAACCTCTCCGAGCCTCAGTCTCTTCATCAGTAAAATGGAAATAATAACAGGGCCTAACTCTTAAGACCGCTGTGAGGATTAGACAAGAAACTGCATGTGAAGCACTCAGCATACTGCCTGGTATAAAAATCAGTTGGTCAACAGTAGCTTCTTCTATAGTTTCCCCCAAAGTAAAATGCTACTATTTCTTAAAATTGTAACCAGTCACCATTAGCCTCAGGAGAAATGGTCCTGTAGAAGGTCCTGCTGTTCCTGCTGACCAGTCGTTCAGAAGCCCTGGGCGTCAGCCTGGGCAGTCTCACGCTCCTGCCAGGCGAGTCTTACCTCGTAGTAACTCTGCACAGCGTTCATGAAGGCCTCGTCAGCCACGATCTGGGTCTCCCCGTTGAGGAAGGCCTGGAATCGGTCCTTGACCGTCTGCAGCTGCTGCTTACTGATCTGTAAGAAACAGAGGGAGGGGCAGTGAGGACTTGCTCCGGACAAGGGTCGTGGTACTTTACGCTGAGCGTGCAGCGCGTGGGTGTGCCCCAGCCGGCCTGTGCAGGCGAGAGCTGAAGGCTACATTTGCAGGAATTTTGTGAGGCAGTGGTTAAACACAGCCATCTCTAAACACTGTCACAGAAATTACAGTTAAATATCTTAAAAGCAAAGTTAATGCGTGTTCAATATTCATTGCTTTTTTATTATTTTATCACATTTTACTGTTATCTGTACTTTGGGGGTTATTTACATCAATTGTGTGTATTGAAGAAGTGATATATAATGGGGTGCTACCCCACGTCTCTTCCCAACTCCGCATTCAGACATCGTACTGGAAGCTAGAGATCAGCCGAGGGGAGAGTCGTTACAGCGTGAAAACTGGCAAATGCTGTGAGTCAGGGCTCTTTGTTTGGTTCAGAGACGGTAGTTACACCACTGCATAGGCCCCTCGGGTGGCCCGAAATACCCTGCTTTACAAAGCTGTAGTAATCAAAAAGTATAGCACCAGCATTGAAACAGACACACAGCCCAGTGGAACGGAACTGAGAGTTCAGAGGTAAGCCCACGCATATCTGGTCAACTGATATTTGACAAGGGAGCCAGGATACTCAATGGGTAAAGGACAGTGACTTCAATAAATGATTCTGGGGAAACAATATTCACATTGCAGAAGAATGAAGTTGGGTCCCTATCTTAAAAATTCACCAAAATTAACTCAAAATAGATTAAAAATTTAAATGTAAGACACCCCCTACACTATAAAACTACTAGAAGAAAACAGACATAAAGCTCCTTGACATTGTCTTGTCAGTGGTTTTCTGACAAGAAAAGCACAAGGAACAAAAGAAAAAATAAACAAGTGGGACTACATCAAAATAAAAAGGGACAACATGGGATCATGGTGTAGGTGGATGCTGAGCTCGCCCCACAAGAACACATTGAACATGCACCTACATTTAGAGCAATTCTTCCCGAGAGACAACTATGAGCCCACTGAACAGCTTCTGCACAACAAGCAAGAGAGAGGGATGGCATAGAGAAGGTAGGGGACCACAAGCACCCTCTGGGAGCTGAGGGACAACCCAGGACAAGAGGGACTGGTGAGCACCATTGTTACATTTTCCCTGAATGTGGACAGTGGATGGGAACTCCATCCAGGTTCTCTGACTGACTTGAGGGCACTGTGACATGTTCCCAGCCACCCTTCTGGGAGCATAAATAGGAGGGCGCCATAGCATGTATACCAGGGACCCTTCCACCCGGATATCCAGTGGATACAACACACAGTGGGATGCACACACAAGGGGCTCCTCCACCTGAGAGGTCCCGGTTCAATTCCCGGTCAGAGCACATGCCTGTGTAGCGGGCTCAATCCCCAGTAGGGGGCGTGCAGGAGGCAGCCGATCAACGTTCTTCCTCACATAGATGTTTCTCTCTCTCTCTCCCTCTTCTTCTCTCTCTAAAAAAAAGCAATAAAACACATTTTTAAAAAAACTAAAGGAGTTTCCCAACCACTAAACTGGATTTACAAGAAGTGTTACAGGGTCTTCTTTATCCAGAAAAAGAAAAAAAAAAGAAGAACGAAAGGAAGAAAAGGCCATAACCAGAAATTTAAAAAATATTGGAAAGGGGAAAAAGATCTCACTGGTGAAGGCAAATATACCATTATCATAGAGAATCAACCACTTAAGAAACAACTATGAAGGTTAAAAAACAATAGTAGTAAAATTAACTATAACTACAATAAATAATCAGGGGGTACACAAAATAAAACTATATAAAACACAAAGAGTGGAGGGAGAACAAATGTAGTGCTTTCAGAATGTGATTGAACTTAAATGCTCTCAGCTTAAAGAAGACTGCTGTAGACACAGATGGATGCATGTGAACCTTACGGTAACCATAAACCAAAACAATACGAAATACACAAAGACTGAAGAGAAGGAGGTCAATTAAAATGCAACATTGCAGATAGACCTAGAGGGTAGTACACTAAGTGAAATAAGTCAGACAGAGAAAGACAGACACTGTATGATTTCACTTATATCTCGAATTTAAAAAGCAAATGAACAAACAAAACAAAATAGAAACAAACTCACAGAGACAAAGAACACATTAATGTTTGTCAGAGGGAAGAGAGCTGGAGGGATGGCTGGAAAAAGGGAAGGGGATTAAGAAGTACAAGCTTCCAGTGATAAAATAAGTCAGAGGGGTGTAATGTAGCATAGGCAACAGAGCCAATAATATCATAGTAACTATGTACGGTGACAAACGGTTACTAGACTTGCCATGGTGATCACTACAAAAGGTACATAAAATTTGAATCACTATGTTGTACACGTGAAACTGATATGTGTTATTATATGTCAACTACAATAAAAAATTTTAGATAAATGCAAAACCTTTGCATCTTCCACTTTGAAGAAAGCTTCTGCACAGCAAAAGAAACCACCAGCAAGACGAAAAGTCAACTTATGGAATGAGAAAAAATATTTGCAAACTATCTGATAAGGCGATAATATCTAAAATATATAAAGAACCCATACAACTGTATAACAAAAACAAACAATCTGATTTTAAAATGGGGGAGGGGTCTAAATAAACCTTTTTCCACAGCAGACATACAGATGGCTAACAGGTACTTGAAAAGGCATTCACCATCATCTGGGAAATGCAAATCAAAACCACAAGAGATGCCACCTCACACTTGTTAGAATGGCTGTTATCAAAAAGACAAGAAATAACAAGTGTTGTCAAGAACGCGGAGAAAAGGGAGCCCTTGGGCACTGCTGGTAGGAATGTAAATTGGTGCAGCCACTATGGAAAACAGCACGGTGGTTCCTCAAAAGCTAAAAACAGAACTACCTATTATCCAGCATCCCACTTCGGGATGGCTGTCCAGAGTAAATGAAAACGGGACCTCAGAGAGATACTGCACTCCCATGCTCATTGCGGCACTATCCACAATAGTCACGATATGGAAACAGCCTGAGTGCCCACCAACAGATGAATATATAAAGAAGATCTAATTATATATATAATTAAATGTCATTCAGCCACGAGAAAGAAGGAAATCTTGCTGCTTCCACAACTTGGATGAAACTTGAGGGCATTATGCTACATTAAAAAAGTCAGACAGAGAAGGACTAGTGCAGGATGGTCTGACTCACATGCAGAATCTAACAAAAGCTGAACTCAGAGAAGCAGAGTTTAGTGATACTTCCCGGGGGTTTGGGGTGGGGTGGAGGAAGTGGGGAGGTATTGGTCAAAGGGTATAAACATCCAGTAATAAAAGTAACAAGCTCTAGGGATCTAATGTACAGCATGGTGATTATAGCTAATAATACTAAATGGTAATTGTGCGAGGGAATGGAGATGTTAATTAACCTTAATGTGATAATCATTTTACAACATACACGTGTATCAGAGCATTACACTGTACACTTTAAACTTGAATATGTTATATGTGAATAAAGCTGAAAAATAAAAACAAGCAAATGTCCTGCCAGGTTCAGCATGGCAGTATGGAGAAGTCTTCCAACTTCATTGTGGTTATTACTTCTATGACCACATGATAGTTGATGACAGGTGATGCTTAGGTACAGGACACACTTCCAGGATGTGCACAGACAAGAGGGGCAGCAGGTTGTGCATTATTTCCTGCCTTATCAATCCCGCCTTTCTTTCCCACCTAGGATTCCTATCTGTTCTCCCTTCTCCATCCCTTACCTGGCCGTACCCACTGTTCTCCAGTCTCGGCATGAGGAGTCCTAACAGATGAAGCCCTTCCCAACCCTTAGCCTAGGTCCTCCTGTCATCCCACAGTGTACCGGTTCTTCTCACTACCTATTAGTTATGATTGACTTTGTTAGATGATCTGTCTTGTCTTGCTATTTCGCTCATCAGTGTTTCCCCAGGGCCAGCTTGGTGCTTTACACCCAACAGGCATTCAATTAAGTGCTTGTTAAATAGATAAATGAATGACGTGTACAAAAGGTAAATTATTTTCAAATATCCTTTAATTAGTTCTAATTTACATAAAAAGAAAGTCAGCTAACAACTTTGCTCTTTCAACCATTATTTCTAAAAGCTGCGCTTCCTAACTGGTAGCAGGTCTCGTGTATGAGAACTGCGGTCCCCGTGGGCAGAGTGAGACCATTCCAGTCCGCGTTCTACTGCCCATCGCGTCATCTTGGAAAAGCCACTGAGTCTCTGAACTGGCCAGAGAGTTAAAACCTTTCTGGAGTTGGCTGGGCTTAAATAAATAAACGGTATCTCATCCTCAGTCTTCTCACTTAGAAAATGGGTCATGTTCACTGGGAAAATGGTGATAATTCTAATTACTTGCTTAGGATAGTTATAGCTGTTTAGTGATATAATATAGGTTCTTTTTAAAAATTATGACTTTCTATGTACATTTAAAAGGCTTTCATCCTTCAAGTCAATAAAAATCTTGCTAACAGAAAAATCTTAAAGCTACAGGAGCCTGAAGACTTGCTTGAGTTTTAACACTATCAGGAAACAAACAAAACAGTTTTGAGAATGGACATAGACAGGAGGTGGGCTGAATTATCTCATTTTTGTAACTCTGGGAGGAGTAGGGAATGGTGAAGTAGGGGTCAGGTCTGAAGGAGTTGGTGTTTATCAGATTCATATCTGTTACTGTCCAATGCTGGCCACATAGGTAATTTTACATTTTCTAGTAGTCACATTTTAAAAAGTAAAAAGAAACAGGTGAAATAAATTTTAATATATTTTATTGAACCCAATATCTCCCAACTCATTTCAGCATGTAATTAATCATTATACAAATTAATGAGATATTTTACATTCCATTTGTATACTATGTCTGAAATCTGGTTATGCTTCTCTGACAGCACCTCCCAGCAGAACCACACCCTGCCAGTGGTCCACGTCACACGTGGCTGGTGGCACCGCACCGGGCAGGACAGGCCTGC